CAATCCAAGATGGAAACACGCCACCTGTAACTTATGGCAACTTGAAATATTTGGGTCCATCGGTGGTCAGCTACAGGAAGACGCCAAGTGTCACTTCGGCGCCCGCTGTAGCAGACCCTCGCTGTTGTTCGTCCGCTCGGAGTCAAATCTATAATTATCATCTAGCTGATTTCCTGAAGAGCTCAGAATTTCTACTAGTGCATTCATATCCCCTGCAGGTACTATGATATCTGAACTAGTAGTACTGCGTATTAGCGCGTTCAGTTCGTGATAGAAGGTGTCCTTCGCAGCATCAGAACTGCGGTCGGTGGGGGCATAAGCGGAAACCACAAACAAACAGCGTTTGGTACTACTTCGTGAATCAATCTTACGCTCACGAAGTTCTACCTATACCATTCAACTCCCCCTAATACTCTTCTGTAATCAGTACGCAGAACAAACTGCTTATAATGCCATAAGATAATTGGCGGCTTAAGTTTGTTAAGCTCGTCGCTTGGTGAGGGGGCTACCCTGTCCTCTGCACGGCAGTAACGTGTAAGTCAGTGGATAGTGAGCGGCGCTATATCACATCTAGTTTGTTAAGCTCGTCGCTTGGTGAGGGGGCTACCCTGTCCTCTGCACGGCAGTAACGTGTAAGTCAGTGGATAGTGAGCGGCGCTATATCACATCTAGTAACTTATTCACGATGGTCGTTGCCGTCCCCCGTAGCTCAGTGGTCTCAACCACGGACTGGCAACAGTCGAGCTGCGGTTTCGAGCCCTACCAAGGGTCCGATGGAATGCGCACTGCTGATGATTCCCGAAAGGATGAAACGCGCGTACAGTGCTTTTCCGGGCTTGTGGCGGCTGTCTGAGTGAGCCTAGATGTGACGAAGTTCTACCTATACCATTCAACTCCCCCTAATACTCTTCTGTAATCAGAGGTTGACATCATTGTGTTCCCAATTTGTGCTATTGAAATGTCGTAAGGTTGGACCGATTAAGCCGCACTGGTTCGACAAAGAGTATGGAAATCTGGCTCGGAAGCGGGGCAGACTGTGGGACAAATTCCTCCTCTCTGGCTCTGCCAATAACTACGAAAGGTATAAAAGTCAGCGGAACCTTTGCAACAGTGCAAAACAGAATAAGCGCCGACATTTCGAAGAGCAGCTCGCAATAGCCTCGAAGACCGCTCCAAAGACAATCATTGCTTACGTGAAGCGATGTCTGAAGCCGGCAGGTGATGTGCCAGTGCTGAATGGCCCGGACGGACAGCCCATAACCTACAGCACTGAGCGTGCGTCCGCGATGACGGCGCATTTCGCTTCTGTATTTGCAAATGACTAAGAGTCTGTTCCGAGTTCGAGGTGTACCGCTTTTACCGAACTCCACAGTCTGGATTGCGGCGTTGAAGAAGTATGTCAACTACTCGCCAGCCTTGACGACACCCAACCTGCCGGACCTGATGGGCTTCACCCACTGATTCTCAAGTCACTTTCGACCATCATCTCTCCTGTCGTGACTGACCTTTTCAACAGGTCGCTGTCCGAAGGTTCGTTGCCGATTGTTTGGAAATGTTCGGTGGTGAAGCCTATTCCGAAAGGCGGCGACCCTAGTAAAGTAGACAACTACAGGCCAATTTGCCTGACACTTATTTTGGCAAAGGTTGCTGAGCAAATGGCAAAAAGGGGATTATTGCAGTTTCTACAGTCAAAATAGGTCCAGACGCCCGCACAGCAGGGTTTTATGCAAGGCCGCTCATGCATTACAAACTTGCTTGTGACTAGGCATGAGTGGTTGCAGGCTATAAGCAAGGGCAAGTCTGTCGGCGTGATATGCATCGATTTCAGTAAAGCGTTCGACAAGGTCAGCCATGAGGTTCTCCTTCACAAACTCAGGATGTGTGGTGTCGGTAACTCACTGCACCGGTGGATCCGCGACTTTCTTGTTGGACGAAAGTAGAGGGTACAAGTCGACGACCATCTAACTGACTGGTATCCCTCTAGAAGTGGTGTGTCTCAAGATACTGCGATGGGGCCCACTCTGTTCCTGATCCACACCAACGATCTACCTCAGCTTCTCCGGTCGGCGTGTGCCTTGTTTGCGGACGACATGAAGATTTGGAGAGAAATTGACGCTCCTGACGACTGTGGCGTACTTCAGCAAGATATCAACCGCCTATCCACATGGTCTGCAGAAGTTCATCTCCCGGTCAACCCAGCCAAGTTTGTATTTATGAGTCGAGAAAAGGGTGCTGATAGCCGAACCTACACCCTTGACGGTCAACCGCCATATCCCACATCCTCCGTGAAGGACCTAGGTGTACTCTCGCGCTAGGATTTGAAGTTCGTGGACAACGCGAACAGACTATATCGTAATGGACTGCGCATGCTTTGGGCGCTCAAACGTAGCTTCGGCACATGATCTGAAGAGGTTGCCACTCGACTCTTCTCTTCCATCATTAGACGAATGCTAGAGTACGGTTCACCCGCCTACTTTCCGATTACCCGAAGCGAGGCACAAAAAATCAAACGGGTCCAACACGTTGCTACCAGGTTCATCCCGAGTTTACGTGGCACTGGGGTACGAAGACCGGTGCAAGAAATTAGGACTACACATTGTCATACCGTCGGGTGCGAGTCGACCTCATTATGACCTACCGTATTTTACATCTCGGTGACTTCTGCATGCTGAAGCCAATGCTGCAGTTACGAAGGCCGTGCCGCACTCACGGACACAAATACAAACTTATTGTGCCGGATGTGAAGCATGTTTACCACCCAGTGTGCTTCGAACGGAGAGTGGTAAATATTTGGAACAGTTTGCCTGAACATGTGATGGAGGCAACATCTGTGCAGCAGTTCAAAACACTGTTGGATTTATATTTTACCATTATTCGATTCAGAGAACGATTGCACACTTACGATGACATCTCACATTTGTGAGTCCCGCAATACCATGAGTCAGACACTTTAGAGGTTACATGAGAACGAAAACAATATTCACGGCTGACAATTTTTATAACGTTTTTTTAGCATATTTCGAAAGAGTTGTACAAAATTCGTTTCTAATTGCTCTATAATACAGTATTCACTGCGTACTGGCCAGGTCTCTGATCCAAACAGTAACACCGCAGCGTTATATACCCGAAGTTTCACGATCAGACTGATATCAAGCCTACTCCATGGATAGTTGCGTCTCTGAAAAACCACACGGGTCTTGCTGATACACGAAGTAACCATCTCAGTGAGGTGACTACCAGAGGTGACATAGATACCAAGATTAATGAATCGATCCACAACTTCCAGTGGCTGTTCGAAAATAGCTAAAATCGGTGGCGCATCGTTCCAGTCCCGCAACAGTACTTTGCATCTTGAGGGTACAAAGCACATGCCAAAGCGTGAAGTGCGACGCGTCAGTATAGCCAGTAATAATTGCATAGCCACTGTGTCAGACCCAAGGAGAGCTATGTCGTTTGCATACTCCAGGTTTGTCAGTAGGTCACCAGGCAGAACTTCACTCTGGAAGAGTCTAAAAGAACCGAATCATTCATGATAATTTCAACCACAAATTAAATAGGAAAGGGGATACAAGACAACCCTAGCGAACCCACTTATGGCGGGGAACTCAGGAGACAGTTTCCCGTAGACCCATTCACGGCCTCTGGGGTCATGGTAGAGACTTCAGAATGGGAAAGTTTATCTGGTACACCCTTCATGGATATACAGTGCCACAAGCTGGCGCAGTCAACGGAACTGAATGCGGCTTTCAAGTCAAGGAAAACACTCAAAGGTGGTCGTCTGCATGTTCTAAAAGACATGCGAATACATTTGCGTTAGATACCATACTTGTTTTTAAACGTGCATTCCATGTGTTCCTCCAGTGATAGCGTAAAATGCCAAAAATGTACCTACATGGGTGCATAAAAAGTATTTTGACTTGATTTGATATTCAAACTTTTAACCTACAGAGTAGCAAGACAGGGTTTATTTGGTCAATAAGTACTAGTCTTTACACTAGGTGTAGATATCAAGTAATAATAATAATGTGTCAGCTGTACGCCGTAACGGCGCTTTGCTGCCGCGCGACCACCACCAGTCGCGCGCGGGCTGAGTATACCGCGAGGACGCCCACCCCTACGCAGATACCAAGTAGTACAACAGTGGGACAGATACATGCGAGCTGCGGTAGGTAACAGTTGTTATGTCAAAAAGCGGGAATCTGAAATCTGAGGTGTGCGTTTACGCTTCCGCACTGCAAGAAACGTGTGACGCAGTGCAGACAAACTGCCGTAGTTCTTCCAAGGTGGCCATACAGGAAGTTCACATAGTCAGGCATCTCTATCTCTCAGTTGCAGTGTCAACAAACCGGCATCCGGACATTCATTGAGAAGTGGCCTGTTGTGAACACAAGCAAAAACGCTGAATCAAGGCGACAAGCTTGAGTTCTGTAGGTACAACATGCAGTGTAATGGATAGTGCGAATGGAGCGTGGCTCTTCAGGCTCATTAGACACCGCCTTACAGCACACAGTAAAGCAGGTGCAACGCAGCAGTGTTCCCGCTGTAGACAGACGGTATATGTGCATGAAGGTCGGAAACCCTACTTACCATTTCCACTCGCAGAACACAAAAACTGCCAACGAGAAGGTTGTCCCAACCTCATGAAAGATTTGGGAAATCTTTTATCGATGTAAAATGAAAGCGATAACATGTGAGAAGACGGTTGATTCAAAAATTATGCTGTAGAGTCAATGAAATCGAGTCACAGTATGCAGTGCTAATAAACCGTTTATCATTAAAATGCAGCTAATAAAAAACGACGGGGCGCAATGGTATCAAGACCCGAAAAAACAGTGGGAAGTTACATTGTGGAGACATGTGAAGCATGTAGATGTCCTTCAGCTGAGAAAATCCACAGTTTATCAAACGGTCGTCAGTGGCGAGAAAAGTGGGATGCATGCGTGTGCGGCTGATGAATGCGCTTAGACTGGACAACAGGCAGGTCACATCCGACAGTCTGTTCAGGAGAACACCCGAGTCTCGCAAAGCTTTTGGCACTCCTCCTTGGTGGCAAACTGATTCTCGTTGCCTCCACTACCCGAAAAATTGAATTCGACACAATCCCGAAGCACTGTATTCCACGCCCATTTCAGTGAAGAGTCGGCACCACTCCCCGGTTGAATTTGTTGCGTGCATTTTGGATTAAGAGAGGCTGGAAGATAAAAAGATGACAACACAGCTGAAAGATTGAAATTGGCCAATCACAGTCAGTGGACTGCGTCTTAGATGATCTGTACAGAGGCACAGTGAAAGAACGAGAAATGGCAATAAGTGAAACGGCAATTTGTGGAGTTCCGATACTCGATAGTATCTGTGGGACTATCACTTTCCGCGGGACCGGATCACGTGCCATTGTTTTACCTTAGGACCCGTATCACTCATGCAATTCATGAGTGAAGCCCCCAGCCAATGGCACAGATAAAACAACCGTATTACAATTCTAATTAATACTTCCAATGACCGTCGTTATCAACAAAAATGACATGAAAAAGATAGTGGCGGATAAAAAGATGGGGTAGTGGTTTCTGTTTCAAGCTGCACAGTCCGTCTAACGATAGGTTCCCGTGCGACACTGAACATGGTTATCACTGTAATCCGTGTATATGGTTCGCGCCGATGCCCTGAGATAGCCGGGGTGTTAGGTAAAATATTGTTGTACCGTTTAATGCTCTTCGCGAACACTGGCATAAGTGTTGTACGGCCACGGAGGATAATACTGCTGGAGTGGCCCGGTTTATGGGCAATTACGAGCAGTGAATTGCTTGTTTACCTGGACACCGATGGTGGGAGGGTGGAGACATTCTTGGAAGCGTCAAATGCAGTGACTTTAGCAGGTGATAAGAGTACGATGATATCATAAACCCAGTACGAGTTCGACTGGCAGCTGAACAGAGATCACCATAAGTTATGATGGTGTACTAGACTTTCCGCCTCAGCGATGGCTGATCGCTTAACGACATAGACAAAATTTAGTTCTACTACGAAATTCAGCACTCTGACAGTGGAAGGTTAGGGATTTATATTTCGAAGAACGCAAATCAGAGATGAGTCAATCAACAAAAGCAACATACGAGCGGATGATGCCAGACGGAAGTACCTCTGAGTTAGTTTGATGGTATTGCTTAAGGATATTTTGTGGATCCCATAACGATTAATTTCACTTAGTCAACTTTGACTCATCCGCCGAGGTGCGGTGGATCTAGCTGCCTTGACAAAAGTCACCAAAATAATAGCAGTACAAGCAACGATCATTCAAGAGAATTAAAATAGTCAGACGTAATAGTCGAGAGTCCGAAATGAAGGACCGAAGGCAAAACCCCACTGTGATGATGCCAGATATCCTATAAAATGTCCATTTGACAATGTAGTAAACAACAACCAACACGACTCAGCGTTTCGGTGAGTCCAGATCAGTTCAGTTCAAACTATGTTCCAAACATCGAGGTGCGGTGGACTAGGTTGCCATAACTCACATCACCATGACATTTCAATGAAAAATTGAATCAGCAGAAAAATCCGCTACGGCATTCTACCACAGTCAACGCAATCAGAAACTGACAAGTTGTACTTATCTACTATAATTCGCCCAGAATGCCACGACTGCAACAAAGCTGCCTGATTAATGTACCCTTAATATCCATTGAGCTATATCAGGGTGGTACCTTGTTAACCTATCCTGTGTTCTTCAAGAATAATCAATCGAGAAGACTGGAACTTAATGCTGACAATGAAGACTGTTAACTTCAGATGTGCGTCGACAAAAACGTCCACACCAGCAGCACAGCTTTCTAATACAAGCGTTCGCATCGAGCTGTATGACACAAACGAAAGACGGGCTGCCCTAAATTCAAACCAACTACATCACCATCAGCTGGAGACGACGCACATCAAATCAGAAGGGTTGAGCGCACCTGTACGACGCCCTCGTGCGAGTACAGCGAAATTCGCAACCTGGGTTTTGGATTCGCATCACTTGTTGATACTGCGCCTCTTGACATCGATGAAATTGCGCATGAATCGGTTTTAGTGAGAGTAAACCATGTGCCTGGCCCCGGCCGCGTTCCTCAAGTGTTGCTGAAGGGTGTTGGTGTGTCATTCGCAGCTAGTCTAACCAATTGGTGCCGCAGGTGCCATAAAAAATCTTTAAAAAAGACATCACGTAAAGACTGCTGAGATGCTAGTTCCGTTACAATTGCTCCGCAGACCTACTACACGCATCGTACTTCCGTGGAATCTATGAAAGCTGATATAGCTTCCGCTCAGTGGGCACCTAGATCACAATTAAATACTACATCAGGTGACTAGAAAACACAAAAAGTTTCTTGTACCAGTCTTTCCTTGCCTTGGAGACAAACTTTGGTCCGGTTGACTGTAGGTGTTTGTGCCGACATTTTACCTCAAAGTATTCAGCGCTTCGCCTGATTCCGAAAAATCGAAGGATTAACGGTGTATAGGAGGACCTACGCGTTCGTCAGGATTGCTCTAGATCTCAATCCCACTGCTGTCTTATGATCGAAATATTTAGGTTTAGTCGCAGCAGTTCAGCAGAATAACTATGATCCGTTAGCACAGATAAGGGGGATCCAGTTGCCACAACTCTCGCCGCAGGGATAATAATAAATGACAACGGCGAGAAAATCGGATAGAATGCGAATAGAAATCAAGAACACGAGTAAAATGAAACTGGGTGGACTATTAAGAGTAAGATGCAAGTTTGCTTGTTTACACGCAAATGAATAAGGTGCTTTTCCACGTCCGAACTAATCGAAGTGAAAAAAGAAGCAAAAAACAAAGAAACTACACACAAAAACAGTGCAGGATGGCGAGTGCTACTTCGGAGTAAACAGCTCAGGAGTATGAACCTATCAATTTTACTCAGTGCCAAGATCCGATGGCCATTTGGAAAATTAGATCTCAGCGTGTGATAGAATGTGCTGAATATCCTTGCTTTGGCATTATTATGCTGCCGGAAACCGGATTTCATGTCAATTTTGAAGATGCAGTCATAAAACTAGACGGATTTAGCTCCTATCGTGTTGACCGTCAACGTACACAGAGGAATCGCGGCGTTGACATTTACACTAATAATTCATGGTGCTCGCCCATTAGAAGAACTTGGCGCTGCAGGTCGCAACACATTAGCTGTTTAATCGCCAAATGCAAACCAAGGCTGGTGAACGGTTATCGTTCGACTTTCATCATTATCACCAATACACGTTAGCTGAGGGTGAGAAACACACCTCAGCTAAGGTGCCGCAATACAAAAAAGATAACATACTAAAAATTACACCATAAAAGAATTCAAAAAGCTAACAATATAAGGCTGGCTAGCCGAACAACTGCCACAAGGTGCCAGCTGGGTGGTTCGGGTTAATCACGTTCCAGCGAATAGTTCGGCGGCAGTGTTCCAGAACGTGGTGAGTTTTCGTCTGGCAAGCGTCCTCCCTACAAAAAACCACAAAGGTCCTTTTAATAACAATGCGATGTGGCGAATGTGACTCGCGACTAAATAAAGTCACTGCATCTTCTCCTTCCGGAGGATCCCACTTCACGAACGTCATCCGGTTCGAAGAGTATCTTTGATCCATTCATATGATGGCGAACACAGCAACCAAACTCCCGAATTCAGTCACATTTCACAAGTTCACTCACCATGCTCACTAACACGTGGCTGGCGGCATGCGGTTTCGGAGTTGCTTGTCACAATGGCCAGTCACAGGACACCTGCGCCTACAAAGGGACCATGGGTGGCTTGCGCTGCACCACCCACAGCACCATTTACACACCCCATACCCAGTGTAAAACAGAAGGAATAAGAGCAGGAGGCAGGTAGCTGGCAGCCACGTTTCATCAACGTAGCCGGCCCACACTCCTTCACATGCAAACACAAGCACGCTGTAGTGGGGAATCAAGCGCACACAAGGCCGTGAATGGACCGTAGTCCGCTCTACACTGAGTGCATGGAACCACTTTTCGAGCCTAGCACGACCACAAGGACCGGGCACCCCGTCCCCTTCAGCAACGACCAACTGGCTCCTGGAGCCAGTATGGACAAGGTAGTGAGTAATAGACAAGTAGACACCTTGTCAACATTCGCATCAAGCGCAGCCACACCGAGGACGTCAAACAACAGTCAACCATTTGAAATGACATAATCAAATAAAATATATCTGTGAAAGCATGCGGCTATGCAGAGATAACTCTTCGCTAAATTAGCAAATGAAGTTATTTGGTTAGCAATGAATCCGCGATAAGTACAAAATGTCTAGAAGTTACACAAAAAAAATGATACAAATGCAATAAAGTTAACGAAAATAACCACAAATAGCGTAAGCAACGAGGTCAATTAATAGAAGATTATTCAAGTGGGCAGAACAAAGCAAATAAAGTGGAATGAAATTTATCCAGCTTAAAAAGACCGCATATACTTATGTATATACAGACACACAAATCCAGTATGTTACTGGTCAACTTGCTATATGTTTATACAATTACCAACCACACCTGTTTGTATTATCATGATCATGCCTTCGCAGACGTGCGCCGCACTGCTGGGAATATAATATTTATTTACTTAATATTATATCATTCAGTTGCTATGAGATCGTAATTGGAGAGTGAATTTAACGGAGAGTGGGATGGACAATGAAACACAACACAAACGCCATGACTTTTCGCCATATCAGCAAGTGTGTACAACCAAAAGTGGTCATCAGCCTTTGGACTCCAGCCCGGCAGTCGGGATGTACCAACGGACGCCAACTTCGAAGTAGCAGAAGTAGTGTTAGCAACCGTCTAACGAATAGACATGGAGCCATACAAAAGTCATGGAAATCGCAGGTTTAATCACTACACCATCATGGCACATTGGCTGAAGGTGAGCAACACACTTCAGCTGCTGCACCGAAAGAAAATCGGAACATGTTCTTTCCTTTTCTTTTCACACGTCATTTTTCATTTTTGTCTTTTCATTTGTTAAGCATCCGAACTTAAACAAGCATATACCCACATCTTCCACTGGTTTCGATTGCGTGCCACACCCTGAACCTTTTCCAGCCATCGGCACTCCTCGTTCTTCGGTCCCCAACCAGGCAGACGTGTGGATCCAACGGGTTTTCATTCCTCTCGACCAAGTCATCGCTTGGCCTCCCC